AATGCTAACGACATGTCTTATATTCCCATGAAAAGTTTTTTTGAGATTCTTATAAATGGCAGTGTCAGAACCATCTTCTAAACACAAAAGACCTGACTTCTCCTGTATAGTTCAAATAATAGCTAAAAATAAGAAAATGACAAAAATTCCAGAACAAACAAAAACCAAAAAAGATAGGTTCTATTAAACTATTACATAAATGTTGGGTATTTGATTGAACTGACTTCTTTGCTTCTTTATTATTATATTAAACGAACGATATAATTGTGACAATGTTGCCCTGCTCCTTCTTGACTCTTAATTTCTTAATAAAAATGTTCACATCCGAGTATTTCAAAATGATCGAGAATTATAAAAAACGTAAAATAGACGATGAAGACGACGACGAAAGACTCCCAAAAAAATAATTTTGAATAAACAATATTTTCAATATTTTCAAAATATTTTATCTATCATGAGGAGATAAAAATCGTTAATAAAACTTTGCTATTATTTTTATTTCTTTAGGAAATATCAAGCCGAATCAATCAACATTCCATTTTTTGATTTCTTGGCTCGATTGTAAAAAATCCATTCCTATAAGTTTTCCGAAACAAGTAATGATAGTCCAAATATTGTCATCATTCTTTATTATTATGGCAAATTTTCCACCATACCATATTCAGTCTTATAATTTTTGGCAAATTGGTGTTTCAAGGTCATTAATAAAATCAATTAAATTTGGTGCCTTTTGTGATCATAATTAACAATTTACTATTAATAACGATGAATTATAAGTTAAGTAATAATTATTAACAATTTGAAGATTTTATAATCATGGTTGATATTTCTATGTAGTTTGATGTGATTTTTAAATGCGAAGGGATGTCTTTAGGAAAATGTACAAGTACATGGTAAAGTTGCGAATATAATTTTTAAATGTTTTAAATGTAAAGAATATTCTTTGAATGCAATTTTTTCTTTTTTAGCAAAATGTGTAGCTGTTTTATAGAAAATTTTCGATAAAATTTATGTAAGATTTGTTTCCCGATGTTATTTGCACTAACAATCGATGTTTATTATAGTCTGGCGTACAAACTTTTTTTTTAACATTTCTAATTGTTTTACCCTAAAGAAAATCAGAAATGGAATTTCTATCATTATCATAGAAGTTCTTTAATATTTTTTAAACGGATTTGCTTTATCAGTCAAACAAGTTTTTAGTTTTAATATGAAAAAATATTGTTTTTAGAATTCAAATACAAGCTTTTTTGTATATCATAAACATCGACGATAAAACAATGGGCCAAAGATTACAAACAAGCCTTTTTTTCTTGTTGATTACTAGATAAATATTCGTATTGGCATAATCACTGTATAAAATTGTTATGGAGAGAACCATTTGAATCAAAAAGCAAGCGTTAAAATATTGATAAACTGTTTAAAGCACCATTCAAAACCTGGCACTCTTTTAAGAGAAGATGACATTCGAATTGTTAAAAACAGATCAAACAAATCCTCTGTAGCATTTGCCAAAAGATTTGTCATTTTTTGAGGGATATTTGTAACTAGTAGAAGGAGAAAATATTAAAACGATTGATATTATTAAAGTTTGCTAAGATCAAGAAGGCTTATTTAGGTGATTTAATCCCTTATCTACCAAATAGTTTTCATAGAGATTCAGAACTTCACTTTGAAAATATCAAAGAATTGCATTATGTTAATACAGATTCGTCTGGATTATTGAATAATTTTGTTGGATCATTAATAAAATTGAAAAATTAAGTGTTGAAATAAACAGGTCCTCGATCGAGAACAAATACACAATTGAAATCCTGATAAAGAAACGTAGTTTTTATGTTTAGAGCGATGCACTTTGGTAAAAAGGTAACAGTTTGTGGAGCATTGGTAAAAAGGCATGTTTTATTATTATTGTCCAAAGGATAATTGGGAATACTGACTGGTTATTATGAACATAAAGGTATTGAACAGTCTGTTGCTCAAGTTGATTTGTAAATAATCCAATGTGAGTTTGCAATCGGCCAAAGAAATATAAACAAGGGTAAACGTAAACAACTGAAATCAGTTGGTCACAAGTAAATAAAAAGAAACTTTACAGAAGCCTTTGACCTTTGTAATAGAGCCAACAATACCTACCAGACTCACCGAAGATTTCCAGGTATCAAGAAAGAAGCAGTGAGCAAGACCCAAAGTAAATTGGCAATTGTTGTCATTGGCATTTAATTTAATTTCTAATAATTTATAATGATTTGCGGTTAGTTCCAGATACTCTTAAAATACAATAGATGCTACCGCTATTAATAAAGAGATGATGATTATTGTTATTTAACAATTACATATGTATACCTTTCTTTGGTAATTTGGTTGGCTGCGTCTATACACTATACCATTTTTGGTAGTTTGAATGTTCCAGTTGCCACCATTAATTCCAGCCACGATAAACAACCAATAAGAGAAAATTTAAAATAAAGACATTTCGCTTTGTTGTTTTTTTTTTTTTTCTTTAATAAAAATAATCACCACTTTTAAACCTAATAAACCAACTAAATTCTCACTTTAAAAAAATAGGAAAAAGTGTGTATAAACTAATAAAATAGTAACAATATACCTTTTAGAATATAATATTATCAAAATACAACTTAAAAAGTTACTTCATCCAAGATTTATAATTGTAAAAGGTACATACATACATATATATATGATGTTGAAAAAAATAAATAATCTGCTTTATTAAAAAAAAATTTTTTCAATACTCATACTATTATTATTATTGTTATTGTTAATAATTTGTAATTTTTTTTTTGAAAAAAAGAGAATTAAAAAAATGTCAGCTATACCATTTCCACGTCTTCAACCAGCACCCGAGAAAGGTCCCAAACAAATTCTTCCTGATTTAAACATTAGACTAATTTGTCCCGATTGTAAAAATCCTGTTCCAAATATTATTGAAGAATTTTCAAATGGGGATCTGGTTTGTGGTGATTGTGGTCTCATATTAGGCGATCGTATAATTGATACTAGATCTGAATGGAGAACCTTTGCTAATGATGAAGGAGACGATCCATCTCGTGTTGGTGCTGCTGCAAATCCCCTTCTTGAAGGTTCACAACTAGATACTGTGATATCAAGAAGAGATGGTGGAAGCGGAACTGCAAGAGACCTAAACAAAGTTCATGGTCGTGCAAATGCTGTAAAAGGTGAAAAAAATCTTATTCAAGCTTATAAAGAAATTGCAGCAATGAGTGATGCAATCAGTCTGCCAAAAGTTATAGCTGATATCGCCAAACAATTGTACAAACGTGTCGAGGAAGAAAAACTGTTGAGAGGAAAAAGTACAGAGTCTATAATTGCAGCATGTATATTCATTGCTTGTCGCCAACAAAATGTACCAAGGACTTTTAAAGAAATCTGTGCAATAACCCGTGTTCCAAAAAAAGAAATTGGACGTTGTTTCAAAATCTTAACAAGTACATTCGAAACTAATGTATCAACAATGACATCCGAAGATTTGATGTCACGTTTCTGTTCAATGTTGCATCTTAGAATGGAAGTTGAAAAGGCTGCTCTTGAACTTACAAGTAGAACAAAGGAGCGTGGCACTTTGGCAGGTAAATCTCCCGTCTCGGTAGCTGCTGCTTGTATCTATATGGCTTCATGTTTGTATCAACAACCACAATCACCAAAAGATGTTGCCGAAGTAACTGGTGTCTCTGAAGTGACTATCAAAAATTCTTATAAATTATTATGGGGAGATAAAGAAAGTTTACTTGATGAAAAAAAATGCGGAGGCTTTGAAAATTTACCATCACCATAAAAAATAGAGTTTACTTTTCATTTAAACTTGTCTTGTTTAAAAATATATATATAATTGTTAATCATCAATTGATTAATTGTTATTTTTTTATAAAGAACAATTTTAATTTGATAATATTTTATTATAGTTATTGCTAATAGTTATTGTAGTTAACAAAAATAGTAATAATATGTTCAAAAATAAAAGCTAATAGATAAATACCAAAAAATAATTTTTCTTTTTGATGTTTATTTGAAAATGAAAATATATAATTATAATTTTATGTTGATCTTGCCTAGAAATTACATTTATTAATGATTACAATTCTTGGAGATTTGATTGAAATCCTTGTTTTAAAGAATAAATTTTTTGGTTTTTGTAGAAATAAGAAACTTTCTTGTAATCTTTTTAATAATCTTCGCTATGATCATTGACTTGTGGCTCTTTCCTCTTAACAACTTCACAACGATACATACAAAATCACCAATTTGAATCTATCATATTTCATTGTAAAATTGATACTTGCCTAATAACACCATCAATCAAATATTATATTGTTCAGGTAACGGTAAGGTTAAATTTTTAAGTTTTGTCCAAATAAAGGTGACATCGTTTACATGTCATTGATAAATAATAAAGATCCCACGGTGGAAGATCTTAAAAAAATTCCATAGATAAATGATTTATAACTTACCTATTGCTATATTATATTCGATAATTTCAGGTGGTTATCTTTTTATCATTTGAGCACCGATCATTGATGTAACCATTCTAACACTTTGTACAAGATGACCTAAAAGTAGAAAGTGTGCTTGAACATGACTTTTGGATATGCCTAAAGTATTCACAAGCTTTACATGGATTTATGAAGCAGAACGGGATGAAACCAATTCTCTTTATGATTTAATAGAACATCTTTAGATCTATATATGATGCCATCTAATCTATTAATGATGAATTAGGTCGTATTTGGTGT